AAGTTATTCTTGTGTATATATATATATATATAAAGATTATTTGAGATGAAGCAGCAGACTTAGCAAACAAGTCAGCTGGTTGGTTTCCCCCTTTTTTTGTTGAATGGTATTTTTTGGGTTTTAAAATATACATGCAATTGCGATGACCCATGCCCGTTGGGAGGAGCTATTAGCAAGCGCCTGTAGAAGATATGTTAATATAAGCTGTTACAGTCCCTCCCTTGTTGGACATGGTTCCTTGCACATAAAATCGCTCTAATATACCATTACAAATATCTCAAACTCAGTAACAACGCAAAATACACACACAAAATGCTTTACTAGCCACAAGCCATAATAATAACCATGCATATAAAAAGGCTAACTACACCCTAACCTATTCTAGCAAACATCTAAAGCAAGGTAGTCTATCACATACATTTATGTGTGTACAAATGTGTATTTAGAGGTTGATGTATGATTTTGACGGGGATGCCATCCCCAACACGTGTTAGAGTTTTAGGACCTTAGCGTTTTAGTCCAAATAGGCGATATTTCTTTGTGTGACCTTGCCTTTACCCTTTCCACAACCAGAAAAGCATTCTAAATTGACTCTCTTTTAGTCAAAACTGTGTTTGGACTGGACGCGTGTCAGGCGGGAGGTGGAGATTCTTTCGTTGCTTCAGGAGAACAAATAGGTGGGGCACCTAGGTTCTTTGGATGGATAGGGACTAAAGTGCCTTGAGTCAGCGCAGGTGACGTCTAGCTTCCAAGCATGGGATATCCAGGAGGGGATGACAAAGAATTTTCTTTCAACATGCGTGGAGGCAGCCATATTCTAGAAAGATTTCTGACCTCCGCCCATTTGGAGAAGTAATCTGTGGCGGCTAGGATGAACCGATGACCTCTACATGATGGAGGGTCTATAGGGCCCACTATGTCTGTGCCCCAACTCTCAAACGACCATGACACAATTGTCGGGTGTAGCGCGTTTGGAGGTTTATGTATAACCACCCCATGCATAAGCTTGGACAGTTAGACTTCCTTTGACATTCTTTTCATCCAACTGCATCGTTTACTCACGGATGAAGGAACCAGGGCGGGCATAAGCTCACTAATTAGGATGCGTGACTGACGCATCTTTTTTTCCAAAGGACATAGGAAAGAGGGATGCCTACTATCAACCCTCTTCCTTCCGGCCCAATTTTGGCAAGGGAAATCAAGAGGTTGGGATCTGCCCCTGTGCCCTTCAAGCAAAGAAAAAGGCACTGGTAATCATTTATGTGCTAATCACATTGTGATAATTTACATTGCTTGTTGAGCTATACTCACAAGTAATGTTTGTTAAAGCCTTATGACCAACATGGATTGCATACCTAGGAAAAGATGTTTTTTTTTATAAAAATAAATTATGTTATGATCATGCAAATATGCAATATGATTAAACATAGCTTGGACCACTAAACTAAAGGTGAGTGATTACAGGTGATATACCAAGTGGTTTGATGTGCTATGATTACTATATTAAGGTGTGAATAATCATAAACGATGACCAAAGGTGCTTCAGATATGAACGTCATGTTAGGTGAACTCTCATATCAACGACGCAAGTATAAACACAGGACTTGCTTACCTAGCCCAGTCATTCAAAGTAAATGAACGTGCAAGAGGAGTAAGCAAAGTGAGTAGAAATTGATGCAATGCACATTCACAATAAGTGAATTGACTGTGCACACATAGATAATAGATCAAGGTAAAATCACATGCTACCAGTCATCTCTACACATGATTTTGCACGCTTGCATCAAGGGAATATGATAACATATACTCATGTTGTAAGTGTCACGTGCAAATGTCAAAACATCCAATGTGTCATAATTAATGATGCACACAACAACAATATGCTTTACATACAATAATTTTGGTTGCCCAGGGTATAGTACATCGAGAGGGAAATTACACCTCATCAGATAGTAACCAAAATGCTAATCATCACCTGCTGAAGGACAACGCGAGGGAAAATACAACTCGGTCAGATGATGATCACAATGCTACCTCATGTGTTAACCACAAATAGCCATATAAGGTGCACACAATACATAATATGCACTAATAATGATGGTTAAATGTTGCAAATATCTTGAAGTAATACA